AGAGAGAGAGAGAGAGAGAGAGAGAGAGAGAGAGAGAGAGAGAGAGAGAGAGAGAGAGAACGAGAGAGGGGGAGATTTTCCCTCAAGTTGTATATGAACAGGAGGCAGCCCCAAGTGCACTATCACTGTCTATCAGGTCCCAAAAACCTGAGGGAAAAGCTTTACTGGTCTGGGGATAGTTTCCAGTTGAGGTAAGGTAACATGCACTAACCATTGCAATAGACAGAGAGACACAAAGCAGTCGGATGGGAGAGAGAGAGGAAGATAGATGTCAATTGTTTATGTTTCATCACCTTTGTGGCAATTAACGGATGTGCAGCAGGATCATAGCCCTGGTCGAGCAATTCGGAGAATCGTCGGCGGAATCGCTTGCCCATCTCATAGAGCTCTTGCTCTCCTACTGGCGCTAGGCTACCTCCATGGCTACGCTCGACCCAAGGAGAGTCCCAGGAGAGAAGCCATTGAGGCAGCTTCCCTCCATGCCTCCCACAGCGATGAGTTGTTTTCTCGTCCCTGTTGCTTTCATTTCGCGCAGTGACGGCTAGCTCGTCATTTTTGTCCTTCGCTTCAGAGGGATCAATTCCATTCTTTTTGTTAAGAGAGAGAGGACTAATCTCCTTCAGAAGGCGTCTGCTCAGCTCGTCAACTTGAACCATACGCTTCTTCGTTGGCTCCCGCGTACCGTGACGGGCCTGACCAATCAATAACAACACCAAGGGCAAGGACATCACACACATGAACAAAAAGCAGCAGCAGCAGCAGCAGCACCCACCAGGACAGGAGCAGCCATAGCCGCCTGCCTAATAAACGAAATGAGAGCGAAAGTTGTGGAATTTCAATTAACCATGGGATGGAAAGGCGTGCCACCACTACAACATAATTTGCACACAATTCAATAAAATAATATTAAAATTTTATTAACATAATTTTTATTAATTTAATACTTCATTGGAATAACCAATTACGAATTTCATACATCAAGGACAGCCGCCAGTGTCGTTATCGAACTGAAGCCCACAAGATGAAAATAAAAAAACAAATTTCAAGGACGTACATACAATGCTTACATAGTTCACTGATCGAACTTAAGCCCACAAGATGGAAAAAAAAAAAAAGTTAAAAAAAGTTAAACGACCAAATTTAACAAAAACTGGAAATTGTGTCAGAAAAAAAACTTCAAAAAGGAGAAGGGAAGTTCCTTGATTCTTTGCAAGCATGAGTCCGGACCAGGCCGCACTGGTGCTGTGTCCACTGTTTGAAAAGCATGAACCTAGCCATAAGAAAAGGACAGGTGCGTGCTTTCCTAGTTCAGGACCAGGTGGGGCTGGCCCTCAATCACAGGCTGCATGAACATAGCACTCATTATTTGTTGCTGCACGCACAGTAGAAACATTCACGTGAGAAGTCACACTGGACACCGAGAGATGAAAACCAAAGTCGCTCACTGAAATCCACACCGAATTATTGTATTACACAAAGAAATTGTTTGTATCCTCCAGCGGCACCTGCCGCACACCAACCAAGTACGAGCCAGGTATGCAACTGCTCTCCCCTCTCCCTCGTGTGCGACTCTCCCTCTCTCTCTCTCATGTCGTGCATCGTTCAACCTCCCTGTCACGCTCATGCTCTACCTCTCCCTCATGGATCCATGCTGAATACAGCTGCAATGTACTCCTCCGAACCTCCCTAGCTATGGTAACCAGACGTCTCCTTCCTCAGACGATTCACACGATACCTCTGCGGCTATGGCTGTCTTCTTCCTCCTGCCTAGCTATGGTAACCAGACATCTCCTTCCTCGCTGGGCACTTGCTCCTCCTCTAGCACCCCCTCCCATCCACGTCGCACTGTCGCACAAACAACCTGCTGGCTGGTGCTGCTGAGCTTTTATACTTGCTGATCCGCCTTCCAGACATCTTCTGTTGGTTATGGGTTGGCCCTCTTGCCTTTGTCGCCTGCTTCTGGAACCTCGTTGACTTTCTTGGGTTGGCTCTGCTTGCGTGAATCAACTGACACCTGGCCTAATGGCTCCGGTGATCCTGGCTGAAGTTGTGGTGCCTCCTAAAGACAGACTCTTGAACCCATAACTGTTATCTACCAGGGACTTCCTATCACGATCTACTTAACTAGCTCGCCTACGCCTCTGCAGTCATGGTACAAACTAATACTACTGGCTGGAACCTCCAATAGAACACGGAATGGGATTTGAGTCTAGAACCTGACTCTGGACTCGGACCTGGGACTCGGGACTGGAACCTGGGACTCTGGTACAGCATGAAATCCTTTCATTGCACATGAACCTGGCCGTAAAAATTGGTTGGGTTCATGCTTTCCTAGCATCAACATAGGTCTATTGTGCAATAAATGACGAGTGCTTCTGTAACTCGATTGGATCTTTCCCTCACTCACCCCATCCCGCCCCACACCAACCCGCCCTCCCCTGTCACACCCCACAAACCCCACCCTTCCCCTATCACCCCCTATTTACAGCCAATTCCTTTTGTCTTAATTCATAATAAAGCAAGCCAAAGAAAGAAGAGTTGCAATTCTTCCTGCTGAGCCAGCAGCGGTGTTAGCACACATGACATCCGCAAATACCACTCCATAACTAAAATGACCCCGACAGATATTTTTCCTATCTTATAAATATAAAAATATGGTCTCATCCACATAATAAAGATCATGTCCCTCAATCAAAGGCAGCATGCACTTCCTATTGAGGCCAACCTGTAGTCATCGTCCCGCATTTCTCTTCTGCTATAAAAGAGTTAAAAAGGTAAAAAAAACTTAAAAAAAAAAAAAGTTGATTCAAGAAGCTCTAAGAGAGAACTCTATTAACGCGAGTTGAAAGCTTGCACCAGAAAAATCTATTCCTCTCTTTTTTTTTTGTTCAAAAATTTGGACCATTTCTCGATTTATGTTTCTCTATCCTTTTTCAGAGAGCACTTGACTTGGCTTCGGGCCTGGGCCTGTAGCGAAAGCGGCAGGCCATATTGAGAGGGTGCAGTCGCAGGCTCGTGAGCCTTGGAAGGCAGCTTCGTCAACTTAGGCTCGTCTTTGAACAGGTGGTTTAACTGATATCTGCGGAGCTGCTCGGGCATAAAACGTTTTGTGTGCATGTGCAAAATCTTTCATCCAAGACCAAAAAGGATGGAGCTTCTCCACATGCACAGTTTCATTCCGTCTGTTTGCAAAATTGGGAAGAACGTGCAAAGCTGCAGACCGAAGGAGGAGTTTCTCTGAATGTGTACAGAGATGCTTGTGAAACATAAAGCAACTTCACTTACTACTCACAAGAAGATTGACGTGAACTGGGCGACATCCTGCAGGTGGAGCAGGCAGATATTCGACAGCACCACCATAATGCTTCAGTGAGTATTCGTATCTAACACACAAAGAGACCACACCACACAAGAGAGATAGAGTCGAGACACAATCAGGTAAGCAGTTTCAGTTCCGATAGCAACATCTGTTGGTCCTGAAACAACGCGTTGCTGTCTTTTCATTCCTAATTTGAGTGCCAAGCAGTCAAGGTGCATTTTAATTTCAATTCTAGTGCAAAGGTACACCGAGAGAGAGACATGAACAGCAGCACTTACAACCTTCTACAACAATTATTATTACAACTGAAAAATAAAAGCATACAAAGACCGGGGGGGGGGGGGAACAGAAGACAAAAGAAGAAAATTTTCCTTGGGAGGCGTTCTTCAGGTGGTGATTAGAGTTAATTATAAAAAAAAAAAGAAGTTATTCTTCCATAAAATAAAATATCTGTTATTAAATGAATGTCCAAGATGTCTGTTGTCAGACAAAACGTGTGTTGATGGATGCCTGACCTCGTATTTATTGTCGCCCTTGCTCAGCCTCCGTTGGGGGACTAGTTGGACAGTTGAGGTGCATCTTGGATTCTTGGTGGCTCAGATTTACCTGTGTTTTTTTTTTGTTTTAAGGGTGCCGGCCTTGGGATATCATCATTGAGCTGACCAGCCCCAGGCGATTCAGAATTATTTTATTCTGTTCATCTGATTGCCGCTAGATTCGAACTTGGGTCTGTATTTCAGCAGTTCATTGGCTTTACCAGCTGAGCTACGCCCATTGGTAGAAAGCTCCGGACCAACTGGCCGCTGGTGCTTGGCTGGGTCAGACTAGGAAGCTCGTGTCTTTTGCACAAGAGACACAGACGATGGACACCACAGATGCTTAGGGCATACTCACCGCGAAGCATTTCTATGTGCGGCTCAGATTTGCCTGTGTTCTCTCTCCAGGAACGGAAAATTCTTGTGAGCTGGCTACCTGGCGCTTGGCTCGGCCAGATTAGGAAGGTTGTGTCTTTTGTTCAAGAGGCACAGACCATGGACACCACAGATTCTTAGTGACCACTCACTCACAGTAGGACCATCATGAGTGTACCTGGCCACCATTACAGCTTATATTCTGTCACTGAAGTCCTAGGGTGACCACGACAATGCCTCGACCTGAGATGCACATCTTGACCTCGCAAGAACCCTTAAACCACCACTAGTACATGGCCCAGTTATCGGCCGCGGAAAAAACAATAGAGTAGAAACGTTTCTACTCGGACTATTTTGGGAATGTACGAAGTGGCCCATACAACTGGCTTGTATACGGGCACGACTTTAGCAAGTATATACTGGTGGTTTAAACCACCAGTAACCGGACAGGACATTTCTTCGGAAGAAAATTTCCCCATCGAACACACACACACATATCAAACCAGCCGAAGGTGGCACCTTTCTCACTCTTTTGGCTAAGATCAAGTATACTGTCTGTTCTGATCACTTGCCATTTTCTGTTTAGGGTAAAAATAGAAATTATCCCTTGAGACAGGGTCAGATAGCTCTTATTCAACCAGCCACCCTGTTTTGGGTAAATAGTAAATACCATGGCTACGCCGGACCCGGACCCGGACATTTCCGGACATGGAACCGGACCCGTGTCCGGAATTCCGGACATTTCCGGACCTCCGGACATGGGAGGATCCGGACGGTCCGGATGTCTGGACAGGTCTGGAAATGTCCGGACCATTAAAAAAAATAAAAATAAAAAAATCTGAAAAAAAAGTATGCTATGCAGAATAACAATGCAAACCACTTTTGCCTGAGAGTCATGTCAGAATTCCTAACCAAACTTGAGTTACAAGTCAAAAACTATAAAAAAGGTTCAAAAAAGACTTCAAAAACTAACAAAAGGTAATGAATTATTAATAATTAAAAAATTGGGGATGTCTAATAAATTATTACAGAGAGAGAGCATGTCTGGACCCCCCAAAAAAGCATACTGAAAAACCCCCAACCAAATTTTGGGGGCTTGGCTCCTCAATGGGGAAGGGTCCTGGACCGTTTTTTTCTTTTTTTTTTTCCTCAAATTTTGGCAGATCCGGACCTTCCAGACCGAACGTCTGGAGTCCGGACTGAATCCAGACCGTCTGGACGGCGGTCCGGACGTCCCGATCATAGCCATGGTAAATACTAAATAGTAAATACTGAATAGTAAGTACTAAATAGTAAATACTAAATAGTAAATAGTAAATAGTAAATAGTAAATACTAAATACTAAATAGAAATTCTCCCTTGGAGTTTTGCAAACATTCACTTACGCTGTCCTCAAAGGTTTGGATAAGCAGGAGGGAGTTGAGCTCTTGAAACTTGAAAGCTTGAGACTTTGCTCCTCACAAACCGGAATTAAGCTTTATAGGGCTTGTGATCTAAACCTGAACAGGAGGCCAGGCGTAGAACTTTCCTTCACTATCCCCATGAGTGCTTCGAAGAGCAGGCCAAAATCGCTGTGCGAATACGAAATAATCTAAGAGTGAAAAGGCTTTGCAATACTAGTGAAAAGGCTTTCTTGTTCAGGTGGAGGGGTGCAATAAGGTTCTACTAGACCGTAGTCCATGATCTGCTATTGGATGGGCACCACCTCCTAGATGAGCGGGATGTCACCTTTCTAAATATGTGATCGTTGGCCGCGTCCAATATAGCACTCCATTCGCTTGCAAGAACATGCGGCGATAGAGGTGGGATTAGTTGACCTATAGAGATAGTATAGACAGTCTATACAAGGTCAACTAGATATGCACTCTCCAGTTGTTACACGCATAACTTTATTAGTATGAACTCCTCTCTTTCCATGTTAGATCCATTCGACGTCAAACCTCGAACTCTTTATGAACTCCTTATCTGGTGGGTTAACTTTTGCATTTTTATATGACCTTAAAGCCAGTGGCTTGTTGGGGGTGAACTTTGGAATTTGATTCATTGTAGGCATACATGTGGTTTTGTTTTTTGTTAATTAAATTAATGGAACCGACAGGCTTCAGTAGTGTGACCCGCCTGACCTGGCCCTTTCATATGATAGATATACTGATGAGTCGGTGAAACTCCGACGAAACAGTTTGTCACAGCCCCTCGTTTGTTATCCTCTACGGTTTACCGGGCAGCTCTGTTTGACGATATATATCCCTTACAGGATTTTAACCCGTGACTCTAAACCCAGTGGCTTGGTGGGTTCGCTTTCGAATCTTTATATGACCTTAAAACCAGTGGCTTGGTGGGTTAACTTTTGAATTTGAATTTTTATGACCTTAAGACCGGTGGCTTGGTGGGTTGACTTTTGAATTTTCATACTACTTAAAAACCAGTGACTTGGTGGGTTAACTTTGAATTTTTATGACCTTAAAACCAGTGGCTTGTGACCGAGGCCAAACTTTTAACTCTTCTTTTCACTTTGACCCACTGAGCCTAGCAGTACAGGATTTTAAGGAGGGGGATTGTACAGCCCCCTTAAACCACCAGTCTGCTTCCCAGCTATCATGTTGCACGGCAGCGGTTAACCCGCCGCAAAATCACAGGTAGGGCCAACCAGACAGACAAGCCTGGCATCTCCTGGCAATTTCACATCAAACCCACCTCCAAATTGTGGGTTGTGCCCGACAGAAAAGGCTGATGTCACCTTGCGATTTTGCGCCCATGCGCGTTCTATTTTCTTTAACAGGCAGCAGAAATCCACATCGGAAAACAAAGGCTCAGATGGACTAGTGGTTTAAATCGAATGTTTGCAATTTCAAGAGTATTTATTTTAAACTAGATGACCCGTTGCGGCTTCGCCCACAAAAACAGAAAAAGAAAAAGCACAAAAGAAAGAAAACGCATAAGGAACTGCCCTATCATATGCCGCTTCTTTCACAATAAGAAAAAGAAGAGCCTGAGAGCAGACGAAAACCCGCGTGCAAGAAAATAGCAGGGAATACCACCGACCATTCTTTTTTCTTTATCTTTGTGTGTTTTGTTTGGGGAGCCGTTACCTTTGCAGCATCACGTGCAAGAAAATAGCAGGGAATACCACCGGACATTTTTTTCTTTATCTTTGTGTGTTTTGTTTGGGGAGCCGTTACCTTTGCAGCATCGTTTTTGTTTTGTGCTGTGCAAGAACTCTGGACTTTTCTGAGGAAATCCAGTCCGTTGTCCCGTAGATGTTTTTGGTGAAGATTCAGAATCAGACTGTGTTTGCTGTGTTCTCTGGATATGTTTGTGATCAAGCTATCTTGCATGTATGCCCCATGCTTGCTTGTTGAGTTTGGGCGCTGTGTGTGCAAGTGCAAGCGCGTGTGGGTGAGTCTCAGTTTGGTGGGCTCCGATGATGTCATTGACGATTGGCCCGGGGAAGTTGTTGGAAGGCGCCTCCAACTATAGGTGTGCCACTGATGTTAAGCAAGTTTTGCATTGTATGAATGAAACAATGAGCACGTCCCACTCCTGACTTTCCCGTAACTGTCCTCCCTATCACTCTCTCTCGCGCGCGCGTCCCACTCCTGACTTTCCCGTAACCGTCCTCCCTATCACTCTCTCACAC